GCAGATAAGTTATTATTTAATTCATTACATTTATTATTTTTCAGAACTGAACCTGGTATTCCATTACACATAAAGTTATTTTATGGACGATTCCAAATTGCAAGATTTATAAGATATTTATTACAACACTCCCCTAAAATTTTTGTTTGCACTACATGAGTACTTTATTACAAATATTGACCCCCCAAAATCCCAAATCACAATAACTCATGTTTGTTTTTGTCCCATCTCCTTTGGTCACAAAAAAAATAGTTTTGTGAGGTTCCAAAGAACTTTACATTGCTATATACGGTTCACTGATCTGCACACATGCCAACTCCTGGCTTACTGTACATGCCATGATTGAACTATACCAGCGTCTTAATAAAACAAAGAAAAGACATAGATGTAAAACTTACCTCGACTAATGAATGGACCAGCCTCAAGACGACGCTTTGGCACCTCTACAGCTGATTTGACAGTTATACACAAGTAATTTGGTAGTTTGTTACATGTCACCGTTTTATGAGCCACACAGAGTGTGTCGAGTATAACTATCCGGGACATGTCCCATGTAACAGTGCTATCGCCATTGTCGCAAAACGTTGTTTGTCACCGGAAGTATTAAACAACGTATTGTCTCGCGAAGTGCCGTGACCTACTTACGGGCCCTATATACCAAACAAACTTGTTACAATAAGATGTAAAGATACTCCTTGGATGAATAATACAATTCACAAACTCATGCGGAAACGACATCGAGAACATATCATCACGAAGAAAAGAAATGGTAAAAATGACTGGGCTACCTTTAGATCACTAAGAAATCCAGTGACTTCTTCAGTTAGAAAAACCACGAAAGATTATGCAACAAAATAAGACACTCATATCAACAGTAATCATAGCACTAAACTATGGCGTTTAGTTAAAAGCTATATGAACAAACAATCTGAAAGTACATCCTTTCCTCCTATTACCCACAATAATCAAGAGCCAGAATCACTTCCAAATGTCTTAAATAATTACTTTGTTGACCAAGCAACAATAACTGACCCTAATTAGGATCTTCCAAACATGACCTTAAACAACAACAGGAAACAATTGAGTGATTTATATCTTACAAAGCAGGATGTTGAAGATGTGCTATCATCGTTAAACATTACCCAAGCCGGCTTGACCAGATGGTATTGGAAACCGTTTCTTACGTTTGATATCATCCTCCTTGTCACCAACATTAACTAACCTTTTTAACAAGTCACTTCAAACATCATTTTCTCCAGATGTATGGAAAGAATCATCAGCCATACCAATCCACAAGAAAGGTAATATTAACCACTGTTCTAAGTATAGACCAGTTGCCTTAACATCTTGTTTAGCCAAGGTCCTTGAAACGTGTACGTTTAAATCTGTCTTTAATTTCATGAGAGATAACAATTGTCTCTCAAATTTACAATGTGGATTCATGTCAGGAAACTCAACAGCTTACCAACATAAGCATTTTTATAATTTCATTGCTAAAGCTACAGATAACGGAAAAGAAATCGGAGCTGTAATCTGCGATGTAAGCAAGGCATTTAATAAAGTTTCGCAGAGGGATTGTCCATGAACTAAATCATGTGGGATATATGGGAAGCTATTGAAATGGTGTGAAAGTTATTTGCAAACTAAAATTCAAAGAGTAGTTATTCAAGGATACAAAGCAAGGATCAGTCTTTGGGCCTCTTTTATTCTTAGTATACATACACGACATAGTTGATAGAATCGAAACCAATACACATGTACGTCTTTTCGCAGACCACACATCACTCTATGTAATGATCGACGATCCCTATACGAGTGCATTAACTCTGACCTCAGATTTAGACAGAATATGTAAATGTGTGGAGACCTGGCAAGTAAAATTTAATCCAAACAAAACTGAAACTTTTCAATTTTGACGCAAAACTGAACCTTCTAGGAAACTTCACGTGACCATGAATGGTACCCCTATAAATGAAGTGCAGATTCTTAAACATTTAGGTATTACATGTCAGGGATACCTCCTTTGCCATTCCCACATTAGTGAAATGATAAGGGAAATTAGCCCAATGATTAATTGTCATCGTAGTTTTCAATACAGACTGTCACGCAGAACTCTCGAAACAATGTATAAATCCTTTATTTTACCTTTATTTGATTATTGCTGCCATCTCTGGGACAATTGTACAAACGAACAGTATTGTCACTAGAGCACCTTCACTAAGATGCCTTACGCACAATATGCAGTGCAGTCAGAGAGGTACGAGCCATGCCGAACTATATAATGAGTGGGTGAGTTTAGTTTTACGCCGCACTCAGCAATATTCCTGCTATATGAAGGGGGTCTGTAAATAATCGAGTCTGGACCATACAATCCATTGATCAACAGCATGAGCATTGATCTGCCCAACTGGGAACCGATGACATGTGTCAGCCAAGTCAGCGAGCCTGACCACACGATCCCGTTAGCCGCCTCTTACGACAAGCATGGGTTACTGAAGATTAATATTCTAACCCGGACCTTCACAGGTAATCTGTATAATGAGACAAACCAGACCTCCTTAGCGAAACGAAGAGAAATTTCCAAATTAACATTATTTTACAAAATGGTAAACCATTATATGATCCACGAAAATCTTTGTGATCTTGTTCCAGGGAATGTGTCTGACACCATGATCATGAACATTACCAGTAAATGACACTATAAGATGCAAACCTACTGTGGATGCCAATTCGTTTTTGCCCGATACAATTAAACAGTGGAATAAAATTTCCACATATGGGACAACTGCTTCCTCTGTTGGGCAGTTTAAGAACCTATTCACACCACAAGCTGATACCAATACAATGTTCGATTTAGATTTTGGTAGTCGATTTTGTAAAAAAATACACTGTCGCCTTAGACTTGGATGCAGGGACTTAAACAGTGGTAAATATAATCGTTTCATTTCTGATAATGCTTCTTGTTTATGCTCACATGATTATGAGGATGTATTAATCTATTTCTTCATGTGTCTTAAAAATAATAGCAGGGCTCCAGATAATTTTTCAATACAGGAGTACTGGAAAACCCTACGAGTACATTTAGAGTACTGAATGGAATTTAATGGAGTATCAGTAATCTTGTGTTTCGTGTCATATATTCACCATAACATTGTAATTCTTGTGTAAACAGGTCAATAAACAATAAAACAATAATTTTCCAGATAAATACGTCTGTAAATGATTCTAAGACCGTACACCATTGATGTGGTGCGTATCTGCTACGTTTTCTAAATTATTTGCTACCGTATCGTGCATATTTTTATCCGTGACTGAGTTTGGTTTTACGCCGATTTTAGCAATATTCCAGCAACATCACGGCGGGGCACACCAGAAATGGGCTTCACACATTGTACCCATGTGGGGATTCGAACCCGGATCTTCGGCGTGACGAGCCAACCCTTTAACCACTAGGCTGCCCGACCGACCCTATTAGGTTAAGAATAGGTATGAGTAACACGGTGAGGTTACGGAGTTACGGAGGCTGAGATAGGGGAGTTACGGAGGTTGAAATGAGGGGAGTTACGGAGGTTGATATAAGGGGAGTTACGGATGTTGAGATGAGGGAGTCACGGAGGTTGAGATGAGAGGAGTTACGGAGGTTGAGATAAGGGGAGTTACGGAGGTTGTGATGAGAGGAGTTACGGAGGTTTTGATAGGGGGAGTTACGGAGGTTGAGATGAGGGGCGTTACGAAGGATACGATTTGGAGTTACGGGGGTTGAGATAAGGGAGTTACGTAGGTTGAGATGAGGGGAGTTACGAAGGTTGAGATGAGGGGAGTTACGGAGGTTGAAATGAGGGGAGTTACGGAGGTTGAGATGAGGGGGTTACGGAGGTTAGGATGAGGGGAGTTACGGAGGTTGAGGTGAGGTGAGGTGAGGTGAGGTGAGGTGAGGTGAGGTGAGGTGAGGTGAGGTGAGGTGAAATTGGGTTTAACGTCGGGCTTGAGAATGTTTCGCTCATATGACGACGTGCATTATACTGACTCCGAGCCGACCAGTCCTTGTTGTACCCATTAATGCCGAGTGCCAGGCAGGGACCAACAAGTACCACATTTTAACGTCTTTTGGTATGACGCGGTCGGGGATCGAACCCCCGACCTTCCGCTCTCCGGGCGGACGCTCTAACCACTACACCACGGAGGCGGTCTTACGGAGGTTGAGATGAGGTGAGTTACGGAGGTTGAGATGAGGGGCGTTACGAAGGATACGATTTGGAGTTACGGGGGTTGAGATAAGGGAGTTACGTAGGTTGAGATGAGGGGAGTTACGAAGGTTGAGATGAGGGGAGTTACGGAGGTTGAAATGAGGGGAGTTACGGAGGTTGAGATGAGGGGTTACGGAGGTTGGAGGTTAGGATGAGGGGAGGTACGGAGGAGGTTGAGGTGAGGTGGGAGGTGAGGTGAGGTGAGGTGAGGTGAGGTGAGGTGAGGTGAGGTGAGGTGAAATTGGGTTTAACGTCGGGCTTGAGAATGTTTCGCTCATATGACGACGTGCATTATACTGACTCCGAGCCGACCAGTCCTTGTTGTACCCATTAATGCCGAGTGCCAGGCAGGGACCAACAAGTACCACATTTTAACGTCTTTTGGTATGACGCGGTCGGGGATCGAACCCCCGACCTTCCGCTCTCCGGGCGGACGCTCTAACCACTACACCACGGAGGCGGTCTTACGGAGGTTGAGATGAGGTGAGTTACGGAGGTTGAGATAGAGAAGGGGGTTACAGAATTTGTGATGGGGTGTGGGGTGTGTGGTGTGTTACAGAACTTGTGATTGTGGGTTCGATTCCTGGTGTGTCCTGAGTATGATTTGAGCAGTTTGAGGTCTGTCAGCAGTTGATCCATGCTCGTTGGATTCACTAAAGTGCTACACACCCGAGACCGCCATCGCTTCTCCCGCAATTGACAGATGATGTGGTGTGATTGGGACGCTGACTCCTATACGTTCCCTTGTTTCAGCGAGGCCAACATGGTTCGTTCCCTTGAGAAGCAGCTGTCGGAGACAGTGGGCCTCGACACAGAGATTGACTACAAGACATTCAAGAGGAGCCTTCAAGTTAGAGATGTGAGTCAAGCACCGTACCCTTTTGTTCGAGTCAGTTTCCCTTGTCTGTCACTTAGTGAGTGAATGAGTCAGCGAGCCAGTCAGTTTCCCCGTGTATGTGAGTTAGTGAGTGAGTTTGACTTACCCTTGTCCGTGAAGAGTTAGCGAGAGAGCTGCTCCTTGTCTGTGAGTGAGTGAGGCAGTAATGCTTACCGTGCATGGCGATAATCAGTACGGATTCATTTCAATGTGATTAAGTGAGGCATACCACTTCTCTAATTTGCGAATGTGTGGGTCAGCAAGGTTTCACTTTCTGCCATTGAGTTAAACAAGCCTTCGCTTGTCTGCAATTGAGCTAGTCAAGGATTTACTTTTCTGCCATTGAGTTAAACAAGGTTTTACTTGTCTGCCATTGAGTTAAACAAGGCTTCGTTTGTCTGCAACTGAGTTAGTCAAGGTTTCGCTTGTCTGCCATTGAGTTAAACAAGGTTTCGCTTGTCTGCCATTGAGTTAAACAAGGTTTCGTTTATCTGCCATTGAGTTAAACAAGGTTTTGCTTGTCTGCCATTGTGTTAAACAAGGTTTCACTTGTCTATCATTGAGGTTAACAAGGTTGGCTTGTCTGCCATTGCATTAAACAAGGTTTCACTTGTCTGCCATTGAGTTAAACAATGTTTCTTATCTGCTATTGAGTTAGTCAAGGCTTTGCTTGTCTGTCATTGAGTTAAACAAGGCTTCGCTTGTCTGTCACTGAGTTAAACAAGGCTTTGCTTGTCTGTCATTGAGTTAAACAAGGCTTTGCTTGTGTGTCATTGAGTTAAACAAGGCTTCGCTTGTCTGTCACTGAGTTAAACAAGGCTTTGCTTGTCTGTCATTGAGTTAGTCAAGGCTTTGCTTGTCTGTCATTGAGTTAAACAAGGCTTCGCTTGTCTGTCATTGAGTTAAACAAGGCTTTGCCTGTCTATCAATGAGTTAAACAAGGCTTTGCTTGTCTGTCATTGAGTTAAACAAGGCTTTGCCTGTCTGTCATTGAGTTAAACAAGGCTTTGCTTGTCTGTCATTGAGTTAAACAAGGCTTCGCTTGTCTGTCATTGAGTTAAACAGGGTTTGCCTGTCTGTCATTGAGTTAAACAAGGCTTTGCTTGTCTGTCATTGAGTTAAACAAGGCTTTGCTTGTCTGTCATTGAGTTAAACAAGGCTTCGCTTGTCTGTCACTGAGTTAAACAAGGCTTTGCTTGTCTGTCATTGAGTTAGTCAAGGCTTTGCTTGTCTGTCATTGAGTTAAACAAGGCTTCGCTTGTCTGTCATTGAGTTAAACAAGGCTTTGCCTGTCTATCAATGAGTTAAACAAGGCTTTGCTTGTCTGTCATTGAGTTAAACAAGGCTTTGCCTGTCTGTCATTGAGTTAAACAAGGCTTTGCTTGTCTGTCATTGAGTTAAACAAGGCTTTGCTTGTCTGTCATTGAGTTAAACAAGGCTTTGCTTGTCTGTCATTGAGTTAAACAAGGCTTTGCTTGTCTGTCATTGAGTTAGTTTGCTTGTCTGTCAAAAACAAGGCTTTGCTTGTCTGTCATTGAGTAGTTATTGAGTTAAACAAGGCTTTGCTTGTCTGTCATTGAGTTAAACAAGGCTTTGCTTGTCTGTCATTGAGTTAAACAAGGCTTTGCTTGTCTGTCATTGAGTTAAACAAGGCTTCGCTTGTCTGCATTTGAGTTAGTCATGGCTTTTTAAAGAGTGAGTTGGCGACAGCTATCTTTTGATCAAACTGTCACAGATTTCACCACGATTTCACTCTTGGGTCGACACGGTTATGCTTCTCGGTTTGCCAGCACCACACCAGTGCTCATGGCTTTAAATTAAGATAATGGTATGTGAGGTAGAAAGTGAGTGAATTGGGTTTAAAGCCACCTTTTAAAGTAGTCAAGGTATGTCAATGCATGTGAGCTTAAAGTGGGAGAAGGACCCCATATAATGTTTGTCTCAGGAGCTAACCACTAAGGTGAGTGATTAAATGAGTGAGTTTAGTTCTACGCCACTTTCAGCAATATGCTGGCAATATCACGGCGAGGGAGATCAGAATTGGGCATCACACATTGCATCCATGTCTGGCAACTGAGATGAAATCCATCAACAAGGATGTGTTGTTTACAAGCCTAGAAACACCATGGGAACCGAGAATCCAGGATTTGTAGGTGTCATCTCACGCGGAGATACCCCAGGATAACCTACGTGTAAAGTGCAATCGTGAATATCTTAAAGTGTTGTGTGTATGGTTCATACCTGCACGACGAAGAGCACATGCTTGTGGATGAACAAACTTTGTTTCATATTGCTTCTATTGACGTTGTCTCCTGTTTTAGTCGTTCTTCGCCAGACGGTTCTTCAAGCTGTTCGACACAGACAAGAGCGACACTGTAGATGTCGCAGAAATGTTGTCTGCCATAAAACGTCTCAGACATGGGACGTCTACAGAAAAACTCAAATTCCTGTTTGACGTTTACGATGAGAGCGGTAGGTGCCACCTCCTAGTGAAGTCCGTGTGTTATCTCCCTTCAGAGTGGAACATATCATCGTATTGCTACATCGCAAATACGTACATCTAAAATCAACTTCCTCTTCTCTAAATCATCCATACTGAGGATCACTGAAAATGTCGTCTGCTAGCAAGTAAACAAAGGGGGATAACTCTTCACAAACTAATGAAAAGGATTAACGGAGTTGTCTCTGTTGAATGAAACCAAGCACTTGATAGCTGGTCAAGGTTGTTTATACTAGAAATCCAATGAAACATATTCCTAAAATTCTAAATCATTTCCTGTCATACTATATATCCTCAATATGATTAGAGATTTGAGTGTTAAAGTCCTTCGGGGAGTGTATCAAGTCCAGCCTTCCTCTGATTGATGAGCGTGCTCAAGCTTTGAACAATTACGCAGGTACTACATTACTTTGGCAACAATGGTACATTTAACACCCCTATGATAAGAGCAGTCACCTCTCTTCAATATGAGCAGCTGGTATAGTTGAGATGTGAGATGCTATCTCACTATGATACGTGTTGCAGGTACTTTATCTCCTTTTGATAGGATGAGGATGTTTTCTCCCTTCTCTGGTTTATCAACATTTAATGGGACAGGTCTTTTATGAAAGTGGTAGTTTCTCCCTGTCCTCTTTCCCCTCTCATCCCAATTGGCTATGTAAAAAACATCCCTTGATGAGAGCTGTATATGTTAGGTCCCTCTATTCTCCACTTAATGACCCAGTTGTAACCAGCCTTTCATGAGAGCTGTACATGTTATCTACCTCTAATGACATAGGCGTGTCCAACCGTTGATGAGGGCGGTATGTGCTACCCCCCTTTAATGGCATAGGCCTTTCCAACCTTGATTAGGGCGGTATGTATTGCCTACCTTTAATGAGATATGCGTTTCCAACCTTTAATGAGAATTGTATGTGTTACCTCCCTTTAATTACATAGGCCAACCTTTGCTGAGGGTGGTATGTGTTGCCTACCTTTAATGAGATATGCGTCTTCGCGACGCAACCCTTGATCAGAATTGTATGTGTTACCTCCCTTTAATGAGATAGGCCAACCTTTGATGAGGGCGGTATGTGTTGCCTCCATTTAATGAGATAGGTTTTTCCAACCTTTAATGAGAAATGTATATTTTACCCCTCTTTAATAAGCTAATTTTACTTTCTCTAAATGGATATACTCACTAAAGGATTGTTAATATTAATTTCAAATTCAAATATGACATTGTTTGGCTTTAAATAGAGAAAATCCCAGCATTTTGGAGAGAGTTTGGGACTTTCTGCGAAGAACACATTAACCTCTAGACCTCTTAATGTGCACAAGCCTGTAACTTATCATGATATGGTCAATGGTGTCCATCAATATAACTGGTGACGCATGTAGTTTTACCGATTCTTTTATCTTATTTGCATTAGATACTACAATGCCCTTCAGGACAGTTTCTACTGTTTCTCTTTCATGAGTGAGTAAGTGAGTTTAGTTTTATACCGCTTTTGGCAGTTTTCCAGCAATATTAAGGGGGGGGGGATGGGGGGGGTGACACCCTCAGGACGGTTATGGCAACATGAAGTGTAAAACTATTCTTTCATAGCTGACGTTATATCCACATAAAGTAGACACTGTTGTTCATTCAAGGTGACGGTTATATCCATATAACGTAGACACTGTTCTTCCTTCATGGTGACGGTTATATCCACATAACGTATACACTGTTCTTCCTACAAGGTGACGGTTATATCCACATAGCGTATACACTGTTCTTCCTTCAAGGTGACGGTTATATCCACATAACGTATACACTGCGCTTCCTTCAAGGTGACGGTTATATCCACATAACGTATACACTGCGCTTCCTTCAAGGTGACGGTTATATCAACATAGTGTATACACTGTTTTTCCCTCAAGGTGACGGATATATCCATATAACGTATACACGGGTTCTTCCTTCAACGTGACGGTTATATCTATATAACGTATACACTGTTCTTCCTTCAATGTGACGGTTATATCCACATAATGTATACACTGTTCTTCCTTCAAGGCGACGGTTATATCCATGTAACGTATACACTGTTCTTCCTTCAAGGTGACGGTTATATCCACATGAGGTATACACTGTTCTTCCTTCACGGTGGCGGTTATATCCACATAACGTATACACTGCTTTTCCTTCTAGGTGACGGTTATATCCACACGATGTATACAGTGTTCCCCCTAAAGGTGACGGTTATATCCACATAACCTATACAATGTTCTTCCTTCAAGGTGACGGTTGTATCTACATAACGTATACACTGTTCTTCCTTCAAGGTGACGGTTATATCCACATAACTTATACACTGTTCTTCCTTCAAGGTGACGGTAATATCCACATAACCTATACACTGTTCTTCCTTCAAGGTGACGGTTATATCCACATAAAGTATACACTGTTCTTCCTTCAAGGTGACGGTTATATCCACATAACTTATACACTGTTCTTCCTTCAAGCTGACGGTAATATCCACATAACTTATACACTGTTCTTCCTTCAAGGTGATGGTTATATCCACATAAAGTATACACTGTTCTTCCTTCAAGGTGACGGTTATATCCACATAACTTATACACTGTTCTTCCTTCAAGGTTACGGTTATATCCACATAACTTATACACTGTTCTTCCTTCAAGGTGACGGTAATATCCACATAACCTATACAATGTTCTTCCTTCAAGGTGACGGTTGTATCTACATAACCTATACACTGTTCTTCCTTCAAGGTGGCGGTTATATCAACATAACTTATACACTGTTCTTCCTTCAAGGTGACGGTTATATCGACATCGAGGAACTACGGACTGCGTTGCGGTCGTGCATGGTGGAGAGCTCGGTGAAGCTGGGGGAGGAGGAACTGGACATGCTGACTCAGGCATTATTTGAGGACGCAGATGAAGACAACAGCGGAGAAATTTCTTTTGAAGAACTTGAATCTGTCATGGATAAGAATCCCGGAGTCAAGGAAAACCTGTGTCTGAGGTGAGCCTGTATGTGTCCTCGTAACATATTGACGGGATGATATCTACACTTCCACTATGTATTACAGGTTGCTGGGGTAGTCTAGTGGTTATGTTGTCTGCTTGTCACACCGAAGGCCCGTGTTCCATTCCCCCGATGGGTTGAATGTATGAAACCCATTTCAGGTGTATCCTACCGTGATATGAGTGAGTGAGTGAGTTTAGTTTTACGCCGCACTCAGCAATGTTCAAGCTATATGGCGGCGATGTGTGAATAATCGAGTCTGGAACAGACTATCCAGTGATCAACAGCATGAGCATCGATCTGCGCAGTTGGGAACAGATTGCACACCGTAATATGGCTAAACGTACATGTAGTGTGAAAGCACACTCCTCATTCCCATAAAACTTCCAACTTTTATGTGTTAATTCGTCTATGGTCAGAATGGAGCAGTGGAATGTGCAGATCTGCATCTTAATCCGATGGTTTGAATCCGTTGCACTTTTTCATCCTTTGATTGACTAGTGAGGAAGTATGTGTTGACGCCGGTTAAACGCTAAATCAATGATATCACAGTGTGTAAGCTTCATGGGGAAAGGAAGACGTATATTCACAGGCGCAGCAGGTAACCTTATTCTCAACGTCTAATCTATACATGAAGCAACCAAACTGGTTGATCGCTCGCAAAATGGACAGGAACGTATGATGCAACTGTAGATGTTTGAAGACCCATGTTCAGCTGGTTGTTTCCTCTACAGTGTGGAACAATGGTTGCTGCCTCCACCACCGAAAAAGAAAACAGCATGGTATCGGCACTACTTCTCGAAGGCGTACTTCCTCAACAACCTCCGGAAGATAGCTTTCTTTGCCACCCTGATCCTCCTCAACTGCATCCTGTTTGCTGTGGGCTGCTGGAACTATCGCATATCCAACTGGTGCATCATAGTAGCCAGAGGATGCGGCCTCTGTCTCAACTTCGACTGCACCTTCATCGTTGTCCTCATGCTGCGGAAGTGCATTACCTGGCTGCGTGCGACGCCTGCTGGAAACTTACTTCCACTGGACCAGAATATTTTGTTCCATAAGCTGACAGGCATCTTGATAATGTTTTTCACTATTGTGCATACAGCTATGCACATTGGAAATGCAAGTAAGTTGATTAGAAACCAATACATTACTCCATCAACACGAAAATATAGTCACATGGCTCTACCAAACCTATTGACTTGATCTATTAGTGTTTGAAAATATACAAAAAATACCAGATTTATGCAATTACAAAGCATGATATACCGTGGGTGACACCTTTGGTATCAATTAGTGGTGTGTTTATTTCAGACTTGACAGTTGGTTTTGCAAAATGGTTTTGCATGTTCTTGTCAGTATTTCCTGAGATTCTAAATGTGTCTCTTATTTGCATTGTAGTCATGGTAGCCGAGAGTCAGTTCAACCTCACCGTGCCTGCCTTCATTTTCACCACCGAGGCCAACATCGGCTGGGTGGCCGGCTTCGCTCCCCTCTCTGGCGTTCTGCTCGTCGTCGTCTTCGTCGTCATGTTCATCTGCTCCATGCCCTTCGTCAGGAGGAGTGGATATTTCCAGGTACATGAAAATAGTTTGAGTAAGATGCTGCAGATGTTGCAGGTAAACTCTAAGTGAACCATCCTTTCTGTCCAGTTTGGTTCACACCTGTATGATCCATCCTCTCTATTCGAGAGTTGTCTACCCTTGTATGATCCATCCTCTCTATTCAGGTGTTGTCTACCCTTGTATGATCCATCCTCTCTATTCAGGTGTTGTCTACCCTTGCATGATCCATCCTCTCTATTCAGGAGTTGTCTACCCTTGTATGATCCATCCTCTCTATTCAGGTGTTGTCTACCCTTGTATGGTCCATCCTCTCTATTCAGGTGTTGTCTACCCTTGTATGATCCATCCTCTCTATTCAGGTGTTGTCTACCCTTGCATGATCCACCCTCTATATTCAGGTGTTGTCTACCCTTGCATGATCCATCCTCTCTATTCAGGAGTTGTCTACCCTTGCATGATCCATCCTCTCTATTCAGGAGGTGTCTACCCTTACATCATCCATCCTCTCTATTCAGGAGTTGTCTACCCTTGCATGATCCATCCTCTCTATTCAGGAGTTGTCTACCCTTGCATGATCCATCCTCTCTATTCAGGAGTTGTCTACCCTTGCATCATCCATCCTCTCTTTTCCCTTTCAGGTGTTCTACTGGACTCATATGCTGTACGTGGTCTTCTGGATCTTGTTGATTCTTCACGGGAGGCATTTCTGGAAGTGGTTCCTGGTTCCCGGAGTTGTATTTTTAATAGAGAAAATGTCGAGGTCTAAACTGATTGAGAGAATGACGTACGGGAACACCTTCATAACAGAAGTCAACCTTCTTCCCTCCCAGGTAAGTTAATGAACCTGATATATATATATATATATATATATATATATATATATATATATATATATATATATATATATCTGCTTAATACTAGTATGTCCTTTTTGTCAGATTTGATAAAGTTGTTACCTTGAATATTATATTTTAAAACCAGCATATCGAAAATTGTACCAGCTATTATCATCCATAATTGTCTAGCAAAGTATGTATTTCTTGCCATAAAAAAGAATAATCAGTTGCAATTGTAAAGAAGAATATGCATGGCACCCTCGATATGTCAAATACGGTCTACTACGGTCTACTACATGGTTTCCCCACAACGGTCAACTACGTGCCTGTCCGTAAGATTTGACCACCGCTTTAAATCAGTAACTGTAGCTTACATACTGCAATTATCATATTTCTTACCCCAGTGTGCTTGGCGTCTTTGCGACAGGTAGCTTTTGTGTGAAGACCAGTTTGCAAGGGTTAAAAAAACAAAAAAACATTGACGACGTTGCTTTCAGGTGGTGCTTATGTGATGCTCATACAATCAAGTGAAACAATTCCTACCTGTTTGTGCTTGCAGTACTGACATATTCCAATCTTACAGGTGACCCATCTTGTGATAACGAAACCTACCAGCATGAAGTACCGTCCAGGTGACTATCTCTTCCTGCAGATTCCAGACATCGCTAAGCATGAGTGGCATCCCTTCACCATCAGCAGTGCCCCGGAACTAGATGGTAGGTCGCCCTATATTCTTACGCCCCGCTGCCCTCAATGAGAGACGGTTGCACTATTCCCTGTGTAAAGTAATTGTCATATAGCGATACACATTGAGACCGCGTTGAGAAACTAAACCCAACATGTTATGCAGGTCGTTCCGATTTATGTTGTTGTTTTTCTTACCTCTTGTGCCCTTTTCCAGCGCTGATACAAATCAGATGGTTATGTCTGTTGTCCTGGTCACATGGTTATCCTCATGAACCTTTAGGAACAGGGAACCCATTCATGATTATACATCAGCCACATATCACATGGCACCGTATGGTTACCAATCATGTTGGTCTCCAATATCACCAGTCCCTGGGTATAAATGGTCTGCAGGAGAGCATGCTTGTCACAGGTTCGGGTTACAGCTGGTAGTGGCATCACCAACATCTTGCATAATCCATGCACAGCTAAAACCACTTGTAAATAACATCTCACGAACGAAAAGAGAAAATTAGAAAATAAATTTATCTACTACGATAATTATTATGCCCTAATGTTTTTCTAATTAAATACATCTTAAATACAAAGGCCACGTATTATAAAGTTCTAAACATGCGAAGAAGATTATAACAATGTTTGGGAAAGACATCTATCTACACATGGATTATGTCTTGTGACTATTATTCTAATGTTTTTATAATTAAATACATCTGAAACAATCTACTATAACAATGTTTTGAAAAGAAATCTATCTACTCCCGACATGGATTATGCTTCCCGGCACCGTATCTTTAGCTTTGGCGGTACTCCCATATTCCCTTGGAAATTAGCTCTCCCGGGAAATCTGAAAATACATTTTAGCCTTCCCGGCACGACACCCATCAACCAATGCCCGTCGTAAGAGGCCGCTCACAGCATCAGGTGGTCAGGTCGGAGCAACAGTCAGCTGTCATATAGCTGGAATATTGCGCAGTGCGAAACATACTCCCACCAGGCTGTAGATGGTTAGTCTGCTTGTTCTATCTGGTACTTCTGTGGCAAGATACTTCAGGGTAATTATACCATTAGGTTTTCAATATAGACAGGTTATGGGTGCACGTGAGATCGGCCGGACACTGGACCAACAGACTGTACGAATACTTCAGCACCTACGATGAGGAAAAACACATGAAGCAAGACGAGGAGACCCGCGGACACGTGAACGCTGGTAGGTTACCTGTTCGTTCTTTGCTCCATGATTTACACATGTACATTCACGTAAACACGTGGGTTAACATGACAGAAAATATGTTTGATGAGGGCATGTTCGAGCGCATACCAATGTGTAATATCCAGGCAATACTTATACACGGTCAATAAACCAGATACATTAAGTCATCCGTACAGGCCGGAAAGCTATACTTTTCATCGACAGTTTCCACTAATTTGCACTGTGCTGTCTCACAAAATTAAATACAGATATATTAAGGAGAATAGAAAAACGGTGGTGTAGTAAGGGCATGGTGGTCAAAGCATTCTCTCATCACACGAGGACCCGGGTTTGATGTCCCCCACCGTGGTGTTACTGGACTATTGGGATGGACGGCGTAAAACCTTCCTCACTCCAGTAGCACCTGGCTAACTCTTAACGATGGTGACGTTGCAGGGTTTCAGGCTCCAGTTCATCTCTTGAGTATTAAACGGAAAGGTGAAGCTGCAGCTGATGCAACGAACTCCGTCGCAGCTGACAAGAGCAGGCTGAAGGTAACGTTGTGTTGGGGGTCGTCACTGCCAGAGTTTTGGAACATTTCCATTCGAAATGAATAATCTATCAGTTAGACTGTAAGCGCATTTACAACTTCTGGTATCAAGGTTACACCAAGGTCATGTGCAACTTTGTTTCTGAACACGTGAAGATCCGGGGTTTAATTGGTCATTTTTGTCGCAAGCTTAACGGGGTCGGGTTGTCAGGCTAGCTGACGCAGTTCATGCATGCCATCATATTCTACTTAGTAATACGTAGATCGATGCACATGATGTCAATCAATCGATTGTCTCGTCGAGATTCGAATATTTACACAATCCTTGAGTACAGCAACAAACAAACAAACAAACAAACAAACAAACAAACAAACAAACAAACAAACAAACAAAAGAACGTATTTTCCGTTCATAATCTGTTCTAGTCCCGACGGCCGACACAAGTCCGAGGAGGGAAGAAACAAAAGCAGGTTCACGTGCGGGTAAGTTACTTTAACGGTAACCAATATAAGTCATTCATACCAGGGGACGTTGTCATCAGTTCAATCCGAAGCATAGTCATGCACAGACGTCATCTGTATTTAAGCTCTGAACATCGATTCTTTAAATTAATTCAAAACCAGCTTACGCTCACAACGTATATAAATGGTTCAAAGGTTGCAAATAATTTGTCATTTGTGTCCATACCCACATTCTTATGTCACCTCGTGTTACGACGTTGTCGTAAAAGGCGACCATGCTTGTCGTAAGAGGCGACTAACGGGATCGGGTGGTCAGGCTCGCTGACTTGGTTGACACATGTCATCGGTTCCCAATTGCGTAGATTGATACTCATGCTGTTGATCACTGGATTGTCTGGTCCCGACTCGATTATTTACAGACCGCCGCCATATAGCTGGAATATTGCCGAGTGCGGCGTAAAACTAAACTCACTCACTCAGTCACTCAGTTACGACGTGCAATTATTAAGGATTTGTTGAAATCAAAGTCGGTTAAGATTATCGTAATGAGGGGAAGTGTGTGCATGTTCTTCTGTAGTGTTTCATCGACGGGCCCTATGGTACATCGTCCAGGGAATTATTTGAGACGGAGCATGCTGTTCTGATTGGTTCCGGTATCGGCGTGACACCCTACGCCTCCATCCTACAGAGCATCATGTACAGGTTCAAGGCCTACAAGAGATGCTGCCCTAGATGTAGCCACTCCTGGTATGATGAAGTGCCACATCACGTCATGAACCTCAAGAAGGTCAGTATCACCTGTGTTCCCTTTCTCTCTTCTTCATCCCATTGACTACTGGCCCTGTGCCAGTGAAGGTGGACGAGTGAGCTATGGGCAAGGGCTCAAGGAGATTACTTGCCGCGATAGTATGGAATCACCAAAATACAAAATACAGCAATATGGAACTGGCCCAGGCCAGGAGATCCCTTCGTTGCACACGACGACCAATCATGTCCCAGATATGCTCCAAATGGTTAAGATCGGGGCTCATTCAATCGTGAGATATGGCAGGGGGTGCTTAACTTAGTTCTTTGTGTACATATGAAATTATTCTTGACATGTACGAGACTATTATGAAACGACCAAACGGGATCAACGAATTTAATGAGACGTGTCCAATTGAAAACATTTCAGTTCTACGTAAATAGAGTGTATTAACTCTTAAAATGACTGTCATTAATTTGCCGTATCAATGTGGAGTAGAAAGTCTGTCGGGGCTGACGATGTAAAGGGAGATAATTTGTGGTATGGTAACTCTGGTAAGAACAAAATGTTATGTTCACTGCAGTGACATATCGTGTAATCTGACTGCAAGTAAAATATACTCATGCCAATAATGGCTGTCACCCCCTTCCCCACCCCAGCCCCACACATCCCCACACCCCATTTCCAATAAAAAAAATTGATGGGGGTGACAACCATTATTGGCATGAGTTTATTTCTCTCACACTGAAGTGTGTAATAACGATATATACTTCACTGGTTTAATTGCCAGTTGGTGTGTAATAACGATATTTCCCCTATTGTTCCATTGCAAGGTCGTGTGTAATAACGAAATTTCCCCCATTGGTTCTATTGTCAGGTCGTGTGTAATAACGATATTTCCTTCATTGGTTCTATTGCCAGGTGGGGTGTAATAACGATATTTCCCCCATTGGTTCTATTGTCAGGTCGTGTGTAATAACGATATTTCCTTCATTGGTTCTATTGTCAGGTCGTGTGTAATAACGGTATTTGCCCCATTGGTTCTATTGCCAGGTGGGGTGTAATAACGAAATTTGCCCCATTGGTTCTATTGCCAGGTCGTGTGTAATAACGGTATTTCCTTCATTGGTTCTATTGCCAGGTCGTATGTAATAACGATATTTGCCCCATTAGTTCTATTGCCAGGTCGTGTGTAATAACGGTATTTCCTCCATTGGTTCTATTGTCAGGTCGTATGTAATAACGATATTTGCCCCATTGGTTCTATTGCCAGGTGGGGTGTAATAACGATATTTGCCCCATTGGTTCTGTTGGCAGGTCGTGTGTATTAACGGTATTTCCTTCATTGGTTCCATTACCAGGCCATGTGTAATAACGATATTTCCCCCATTGGTTCTGTTGTCAGGTCGACTTCATCTGGATCAACCGTGACCAGAAATCCTTCGAGTGGTTCGTCAGCCTCCTCACTCAGTTAGAAATGGAACAGACTATGGAAGGCGGGCTGGGCAACTTCATCGAGATGCACATGTACATGACTGCAGCACTTAACAAGACGGACCTGAAAGGAATCGGTTTACAGATGGCCCTGGACCTCATCCATAAGAAACAAGACAAGGACCTGCTGACGGGACTGAAGACCCGCACACAGCCAGGGAGGCCAGACTTCCGAAAGGTAGGGAGACGCTATAGGTCCGTTTATGTTTTTATCAGATGGACAGCTCCAAGCCTTGTCGCCACCACACTCTTCCTGTCTTCTTGCGGTTTTAAAATACGAAACGCTGGATCCGAATCCTGGTTTACTGATGAAGTTTATTTAATATTATGCATTGTCACAAGGAATCGTCAAACCAGTTGTCTCTGTAGACATGGCTGTAACACCGCTATGTATTACTCATGTCATTGCTGTTTTTCAGCTGTTTGGCAAGATTGCTGCCGAGAAGAATGGGCAAGTGAACGTGTTCTTCTGTGGAAACCCAACACTGGCTAAAGCAATCAAACAGCATTGTGTATCTTTCGGGTTTGGCTTTTCAAAGGAAAATTTCTAGATAGACAAACCGGCACAGTCGAAGAAGACACGGCTCTCATTTCAACGACATCGCGGCGACACAGGCAGATGGGCAAGAAAAAGAATTCCGTTCGTTTTCTGTGTTATTGAAAAGTGAAAGAACTATTGTTTAGTTTAATTTTTTAATTGATTATTTAAAAGTCACTGATTCCTGTAACCGTTTGTAAAATGTTGTCTGTGGCTTGATGATTTTGTAGGAAAGTATATTGTTCGAATGAAGGATGTGTGGGAAATGAACTCTAATCACAGGCCCCCTACCATGTTTGTGATATTAATGCGAACAACACCCCATATGATTATTTTTAAAATATAGATGTTATACTTTATAATTTAAAAAGGTTTGCACATTTTAAAGTGTTAACTTTTTTTGTAGACCAATTATTTGCTGTGACCAGTGACCTTCAGTAACCCATGTTTGTCGTAAGAGGCGACTAACGGAATCGGGTGGTCAGGCTCGCTGACTTGGTTGACACATATCATCGTTTCCCTGTTGCGTATATCCATGCTCATGTTGTTGATCACTCGATTGTCTGGTCCCGACTCGATTATTCACAGACCGCCGTCATATAGCTGGAGTGCGGCTTCAAACTCACTCAGTCACTTTGATTCCTGTGCTATTTGTTCGATGACATATCGCAGACATAGGACATTTTCAGTTGAAAGTCAGGGCTATGATAAAGTCAACCTGGTGGCGTAATTCATAACTCAGTTATTTTGACAATGTGTGAAGGATTAAGACTTAAACTGCATTACCGTTTAATGACGGTCTGCAGATAAATGTTTAAGCAATGATCAAAATATTTTGCTTTTCGCCCTATAGACGTCTGATAATAATACGGATTTGTCATTAAACGACCAGTGTATAATTAGAATGCAACAACCACAGACATCCAAAACATCGGGGAGTTAGGTTAGTTTGTGTTTCGTGATATAAATAACCAGTGTACAGAGGAATGCAAGCTACACGTCACTATCCTCTTCACATCGACTGATTCAGGACTTGTCCTGTCTCCTGTGTTCCTCAGTTCAAGGCTACCTTGGCTCTAGGATCATCTTGACGTTCATTCTTAAGTGGAGGCTACTTAGATTTTAAATGGCACTGAGAGTGAAACCAGTTGCATGTCAAAAGCTCGCGCCAGATCCTGGTTCATGCTGATTTGCTGTGACCCTAGTGCTCCATCAACAGACCTATGGACAAGTTGAAAGTAATTCTTTCATATAAGTTGAAAGTAATTCTTTCATATAAAGTGTGTGTCCAATCCGTGTTACACTTGTACGTTTTGCTATCCCAATACAGAATTCAAAAGCCCCATGGCGTAACGTATGAAGTCTTCAACGTGAGGCTAACGATCAGAGTACAATTTGTAGATAGATACTGAAGTCAAATGTCCACATACATTGGCAATATTTATTACCTACGAGGGCGAAAATATCGGGGTTTATATTTTTCATACGATGCCCTGGGGCAAAATATCACTTTGCCATGGTGACGTGACGTCATCAACAATGCTTGTTTCTTGTATGACGTTGCGTTCTACATGCGGCGACGGCAGTTAGCCAGCCTATGTTTGAAAGTAGATTTGGGTTTATTTTTCTCAATTTGACGACTTCGGTAATAAACAGAATATTATGTTCGTACCAATATCATACTATACTCAGCGGCAAAAAAACTCGACAGTACGAATTCAAAATTAGATAGGCACTGTAATCAAATCTTTACAGAAATGGACATAATAAGCGGATCAAAAACATTTTTTGTGTACAATATCTTGACACATCAATGAATAGCTCAGCACAATTCCATGCATTACGTGATCGTTTGCAGTCCATTCAGACTCTTGACTTCAGTATCTAGTGTGACCACCACGAGCGGCAATAACTGCAGCACAGCGTTTATGTACGAAGTGCACCAATCGATTGATGAGGGCCATTGGCACCTGGAACAACACTCTGAGAAAAGCCTGGCGCAATGAATCGGCTGTGTTCGGCCTTGGTTCGACATTATTCAGTCTCCTCTGAATTTCATCCCAAAGATGTTCAATTGGGTTTAAATCAGGACTAAGGTTGGCCACTGCATAATGTTGACACCGTGCGTTCTGCTGTAGGAAGTCCCGTGTAGCTCTGGCAGTATGGGCCCGGACGTTATCATGCTGGAAAATGTTGTTCCGGTGACGAGCGAAATGTGGTATGACGTGGGGTCTGAGAACTTGGTCGATGTAGCGCACCGCTGTGACCAAGGTTCTGGAACACCACAGTACCCCCTCCCTGGTTCAGGCCTATTCCACCCAATACCATGATGCTTGCACCTCCTGTATCGCCAGTTTAGGACAAACTGCAGACGTTCACGCTGATGACGAGGGGTGAGGATAAGTCCACGGTAAGGTCTACGGCGATTGAGGTTCCCGCTATTAAGACGTCGGCGTACTGTTTCAGTACTGATTGGTCTTCCGTGTGTTCCCACTGTCTGGCGTGCTGTTTCGGATGCCTGCATGAAGGGATTCTGTACATGCTGTCGTACAACATGGCGGTCTTGTCGTCTTGTGCTCACCCTTGGTCTGCCAGTACGGGGGAGATCATTTGTGGTGTTGGTTGCCCGGAAACGTTGCTGCAGCCTTTAGATGGTCCTATCGTTGACCTGGAAGTGATTGGCAACAGCTTGTGCAGTGTGGCCAGCTTCAAGTCTTCCTAGCGCCTGGTTCCTCTGAGCTGTCGTGAGTCGCGGCATCCTGCTGACGTTGTAATGTGAATGTTTCAACCAGGTTTGGGGGTGCATTTTATAGGGCTAGTCCTTCTGAACAACACGTGCAGTATGAGTTGCATTAAAAACATGGAGAACACCGTACCATCTCCGAGATCAGGTTGCGTTTTTGAGACCATTTCCTTGGTTCCATTCTGAGTTTGAGAAGGAATGTCTTTGCTCAGGTAAAGTTGGAGATGTTGTCCAAAATATACGATCAAAACATTAAATGAATACCCCCAAAACGCAATCACTTTCAGAACTTTAATTGGTTGGCTGAAAACCAAGCAGAAACAGTGCAAGCGTTATGTCCATTGTTGTATCAAATTTGTCACCATACGGCCCAGTCAGGGTGAGGGTGTGTACAATCTTATGCTTAACAGCGTATACAACCGCGTCCTAGGCAGTAGGTTAAGTCGCTTCGCAAAGGAAGTAGCTTTTGTTCTCACTGTCTCATTACCCAATAAATCTTTTAATAAGAAGTTCAGTCGAATTAAGTATTGAGCACAGCAACAGTTTATTGCGCATACATAATTCATAGATTGCGGAGTATATAGTCGATTGAAAATAGGCACATGTCAGGGGCGATTGGGTAGCTTAATGGTTAGAGCGTTCGCTCGTCACGCCGAAGACCCGGGTTCGATTCTCCACATGGGGACAATGTGTGAAGCCCATTTCGTCCCCCGTGATATTGCTGGAATTTTGCTAAAAGCGGCGTAAACTAAACTCAATCACTCACTCATTCACATGTCAGAAACTTGCCTGGCGGCCGGTAGGATAGGCTTGTGGTTAATGCCTTTGCTCGTCGGTGTTGAGATCCGGGTTCCCTTTCCCATATGGTTAAGATATGTGAAGCCCATATCTGGTATACCGGGAAGAGGCATCCCTGACACGAGAGTAAAAGCAGACTCATTCTCTTGACTGGCCAGTCCGTATGGTTCTACCTGTGCGAAGTTGGCTGGACGTGTTACAAGTCAAATGTTTCGCATTTTTACAATCCTTTTTAACCAACCATAACCGAACAATCATTATTTGTTATTGACTCTGATACAGTGATAAAAATATAATAAAGTCTGTTTTCTGTTTGAGTTTGTTTATCTGATATTCTGTGACCATGGTGCGGGTTCAACGGCCCCTGTGTCACCTGTAACGGAATCTTGGACAGTCGGGTAGGGTAGTGGTTAAAGTGTTCACCCGTCATCCTGATCACCAGGAGTTTAGTACTGTCCCGGGGCATTGTGAACAATGCTAACAGCAGGGCCACATTAAACTTACTCTTTCCCTCCCCTCCCCTTCACACCCCTCCCCCCTCTCTCTCGCCTACGCACGCTCTGTCTCTCACTCTCTTCTCTCTCTTACTCTCTTCTCTCTCTCACACACTCTCTCATTTCAAGGAGAAACAGGTGGTCGATACTAGGAACACCAGTTAACAATGGCTGAGCTGACATCTTGCTTCAACCAGTTCTAGTTAAATTACTACATCCATCCATACATACACAGATACATTTTATGCATCCATCCATCTATCATCCATCCATCCATACATACATACACACATACATTTTATGCATCCATCCATCTATCATCCATCCATCCATACACACATACATTTTATGCATCCATCCATCTATCATCCATAAATCCATACATCCATACATCCATACATACACACATACATTTTATGCATCCATCCATCTATCATCCATCCATCCATACATCCATACATACACACATACATTTTATGCATCCATCCATCTATCATCCATACATCCATCCATACATACACACATACATTTTATGCATCCATCCATCTATCATCCATACATCCATACATCCATACATCCATACATACACACATACATTTTATGCATCCATCCATCTATCATCCATCCATCCATACATCCATACATACACACATACATTTTATGCATCCATCCATCTATCATCCATACATCCATCCATCCATACACACATACATTTTATGCATCCATCCATCTATCATCCATACATCCATCCATCCATCCATACATAAACACATACATTTTATGCATCCATCCATCTATCATCTATACATCCATCCATCCATACATCCATACATACACACATACATTTTATGCATCCATCCATCTATCATCCATCCATCCATACATACATACACAGATACATTTTATGCATCCATCCATCTATCATCCATCCATCCATACATCCATACATACACAGATACATTTTATGCATCCATCCATCTATCATCCATCCATACATACATACATCCACACATACACAGATACATTTTATGCATCCATCCATCCATCATCCATCCATACATACATACATGTTATGCATCAATCCATCCATCCATCCAATCTACCGCAGTACGCATTGTAAACCCCTCTACACATTTTAAATTCCCTATAGGCAACTCTAATAATCTACGGAATACCTGCTG